TAATAACCAATGAAAGAAAAATAAAGGATCTCTGTATCTCATGTTAGACATATTTTGAGTTGTTAATTAATTTGTAAACCGAGTTACTTAAGAGTCAAATAACTTGGCTTTTTAAAAACCCTAGCCGCTCTTGCTTTTCTCTCTCGCAGGAACCCCTCCAAATTCCCAACCTTCATCGCCGACTCCTTCCTCTGGTTGGAGTTGGCCAGCTTTCCCTTGCTGCTACCCCTTTTCTTCTCCTCTCTAGGCCGTTACCCTCACCCTCTGGTCATCCTCTTTCTCCCTCCACCCTTTTCTCTCCTGCTGCAACCTAACTCGTTACCCATACCATCAAGTCCTCCCTCTTCCCCTGTCACGCTTTCCCTTTTCTGTTTTTTTCCTGCGGTGCTTTTTTTCATTTTTCATTTTGGCTTTCTTTGAGCTTTGTCTTAGTTTGTTTGAGCTTTGTCTCAATTCTCTGAGCTTGTCTCAGATCGAAACTTGTAGACACCTTCCTGCTCCGATGTTTCCTTCCGTCATGAATCCACAACTACCAACCACTGCTACTCAGCCCCGGGTGCTTCTCCTCGGTAAAGTGCTTGGGTTTTGGGTGGCTATTAAAGTGCTTTTTGCACTATTTGGTAGGGTTATGGGAGCGCTCACAGCTCTGGTGGCTCGCTCATGCCCATTTTCCGTTGATCTGGTTGCTGTTTTTGGTTCGATTTTTGGTGGTGGTGGCTTTCTGATGGAGGCACGTCAGATTTGGTGGTGGCTGCTGGTTTGCTCTTTATTTTTAGGGTTTCTATTGTCTTTTAGCTATGCCTTTTCGGCTTTGTATTGTATTTACTTTTTCCTGCTGGGCTTGTATTTCAGTTGTGAGATGCTTTTTAGGCTCTTTTTTCCTTGTATTAGTCTCTTTGTTTAATGGAAAAGTAACTTAGTTTGTCCAAAAAAAAAAAACTAACTTGGCTTCCAAGTTATTGATTCTCAATGTGATTTGTGGTTTGATTGAAAGATTCACAGAGCCTTGATTCTTTGGCTAATTATATGGAACCCTTATTTGGAATGACATATGGCACATGCCTTGGTAGGACAACAATTTGATTTAATAGTGGTTTAGTAATAGGCGGTTTTAGAGGAACCCTAATAACTATGTGTAAGATTTTTCCATGCTCTCACAATAAGCGTTCTAATATGTGCTAAACCCTATTCATAGTGGGAACATATTGTTTGGAGAGAGTAGAATAGATTCTTATGCATGCCCTGCTATACATACAAGTCAATTAATTGGGTTATTGTAGTTCAATTTATTGAATCTATGATCCGAATATCTTGTTGTGATTTCATAATATATTTTACATCTCGTACATGAATGTACCTAAAAAAATAAAAATATAAGATTACACGAAAGTGAATGTGATATATCCCATACTCGGTCTTTTGTATTATCACTTCTTCATATTCTCATAACCATATAGACTTGGACGTGGGTGGAATAGGAGACGTTGATTACCGGTGGATCACATGTTTCTATGGTTTTCCAACAGTTCATGATAGGTACAAATCTTGGCAACTGTTAAATGTGTTGCAGGAAAATGGGGACAAACCTTGGTTGTGCTTGGGCGACTTTAATGAGATTCTACAAGCTATCGAATATGAAGGGGGCAACCCTTGAAGAACATCTCAAATTGAGGGTTTTCAAGATAGTGTGCTGAGATGTAATTTAAATGACCACGGTTTTGTTTGCAATAAATTTACTTGGTTTACTACTAGGGATGGGGGTATTAAGGTTAGACTAGATCGGGCAATGGCAAATCAAGTTTAGATTGACCGGTTTTCAAGATTCAAGGTATTTCATTTAAATAAAACCATATCGGATCATATTCCGATCTGGGTATGTTGGGATGGGCGGGTTCTGTCTAGGAGAAAGAAATTATTTTGCTATGAAAATTGGTGGAGCTCTCAGGAGGGTTGCGGAGAGGTTGTCAACCAAGGATGGGCATGTGAGGTGCAGGGTGTTCCAATGTTTCAGATTACCGAAAAAATTAAAGCCACTTGGTTGAAGCTATCTCAGTGGACTAGACAAAATGAGCGACTGGGGCTTAACGAGATTATGGAGATTGAGGATAAGCTTACAAGTCTTCTCGGTCAACCATTCACGGATGAAACAACAAAGCAGAAAAAAGAGTTGACGGGTAAGCTCAATATGTTACTTGAACAAGAAGAAATGTTTTGGTGGCAACGCTTAAAGGAAAATTAGTTGAAATCGGGTGAACGTAACACAAGATATTTCCATCAAAAGGCTAATCGAAGACAAAGAAAAAACTTTTTGTATGGGCTTTAGGATGAGAACGGTGATTGACATGATGATAAACGAGGAATGGAGAAGGTTGTGGTGGATTATTTCTCGAGGTTATTTGATACAAATGGGGGAGAGAATATGGCTGCAGTACTTGAGAATATTGCGCCTAAAACCACACCTAAAACCACGCCTAAAACCATACCTAGGTAGAGCTATACAATCTTACTTGCAGCTATGTTGGTCCGCCCAAAGCCTATGCCACCCAACCCTTTTTAGCATTACAATTGGTTACACTTGGCCTTTCATACTTAAGCATTTTAGGTGCTGACCCTATGTGCCCATTGCACTGCTGCAATGTACTAATATGGGCCTTCATATAAGCATGTGAATCATTGTTCAATCATGATTCTCTGTCAAGCTTTTTAGAGCCTTTGCCAGGTGATCTCTCTACTACGATTTTGTAGATTGTCACTTTGATGAGACAGTCTTCTCATTGTTAAAGGGAGATAAGAACGTCAACGTTCCTGAAAAATGACGCAAATTATTTAGACGTCCTCACTATGTGTCATCTTAAGCATTCATTTTACATATTGAAACAATCCAAGTGGATTTGGTATCCCGTTTAGGTGAGTATTTGATTAGTTAGGGATATATAAATAAACTATTACCTTGAGTGTTCAAGTCATATTCCAAAATTGCTAGAGTTGTAGTCTATGTCAATGAAATGAATCTCAATTAGACTCCTAATGAGTTTGAGAAAACTACCTCGCACCTGAAGTTAGAGTTTGAAATGAAAGATCTTGGAAAAGATCGCTTCCACCTTGACCTAAATTTCAAGCATTGTTCTAATGGTAAGTCCACCAGTCGAACTACACCCAGAAGATGTTGATTTCGAGTATACCCATTGTTGTCCATACGCTGGATGCAAATGAGACCCCTGAAGAGGTTATGGAGCTCGAAGTTCCATATCTAAGTGCAATTGGCTTATATTGTACTTAACTCAACCCACTCGATTAGGCATTTTCTTCGTTGTTAATCTTTTGGCAAGAACATCAACTACACGCCACCACTAAATTGGTGATGAAAGAAGTTTTTTCGTTACTATGGATTTGAGCTTATTCTATCTTTATGCATCTCAAAATAGATCACACCCTCTCTGGATTTGAGCTTATTCTTCCTTGTTAGTTTACTGACGTCAATTACTTGTCTATACCACACAAGGTAAGTTTCCTATACGAATTATGTCTAATATTAGAAATACCACAATATCTCATATGTCCACACAAGACCTTAGTTGCGACATCATTGAACCATGCCAAGCTCACCTCCCTACTCAATGCTACATGTGTTTGCGAGAGGCTTCGTAAAAGCACATTTAAAGCACTCAAAGACCTTCATCCACGTTTATGTCCCAACAACAATCCATGAAGACGATGCCGCATGTATTGACCAGATCAAGTAAGGATACATAAACAAAGTCGACCCAAGCTTATTGCATGTACATCACATCAGTAAAGTATCAAAAGATTTAAGTCAAATAGATCATATCCCAAGACAACCTTGCCGACATGTTATATTAACTTCAATTTTTCTCCTTAGACTATGAGTTTTGTCCCTTTAGGTTTTACCATAGCCAACTTTTGGTGAGACTATGCAATCTCTATTAAAACACACATTTGCCACTTTTGTCGACTAGACAAAACAATTTCATCAACTGCTTCTACATTTATCTGATGCGTCGACTGCTTGAGTATTTACTTAATCAAGTAGATGTTGTAGTTTTTAATTAGATAGGCGATTGTGCAAATCTTGGTAGAATGTGCGTAGATATCCTACGAAAGCTAGAAGATCTTTCCTATTAGTGTTTGCATTACTTGGAGTGCAAGCTTCTTTCTCCCTTACTAGTATAAATAAAGGCACAAGACATGAGGATGTCATCACCGAATTCCTCAAGCCTCTTTTCTCTCTCTTCTCAGCCGCACTCTCTCTACTTTCTCTCTAAAATAGGCCTACTAGAAAAAGGACTTGTTTGATTGTTTTGTATTCTATTTCTTAATGAAGCATATATAGGAGGAGTTAAGAGAAACTTAAAAATGCGGACATTACTAGAAGACTAGTGCTACACTTACCATCTATTTATACCATTATTATACTCTCTCTCTCTCTCTCTCTAAGACCATCTCCAACCTATGGGATAAGGCTTAAAATATAAGCTTTAAAACCCCCTCAAACCATCTCCAACTACGGGCTAAAATAAGCCCATGGGAGAAAATATATTTCTGGGCTAGATTTTTCTCAAGATTTAAGCCTGACTTAAATTATTTTGGACCCATCAAACTATCATATTTCAAACCTTTTTTGTTTTTAAATCAAATTTAACTTAAAACTTTATAAATACATATGTATTTGTATGATTTTTAGTTACTTATTAGAATTTAAATATTTTTAGACTAAAATGTTCATAAAAATAAATTAAGATAATCTATATAAATTTTATTTAAAAAAAAAGTTACTAAAAACAAAAAGTTAGGCTAATTTAATCATCACGGGCTAAAATTTTAAGCTACAAGGGTTGAAGGAGAAAATCAGTTTCTGGCTTATGGTTTAAAATTTTCTGACTTAAATTTTTAAGTTTTATCCCTAAGGGTTGGAGATGGTCATAGAAATAAGGCCAGCTAATACATGTGGGGTCCAATTTTTATTAGAGAGATGATATAAATAGATGATAAAAATAGCATTTTTGTTACCGGAATTATAGATGCTTACTAGTCATAGTGCCCGCGCGTTGCTGCGGGTGTTATAAGTGTGTAAAACATGTAAATAGTTGGACATTAAAGTACAAAATATAGAACAAAATTAGTGTTTTCAATATCTAAGTCTCTGCCAAAATGATCTTGGATCTTCAGCTCATGATGTAAACCTGGGTACTAAAACAATGTAAAATATTGTTAACATCCTCTTCGGTTCTATAAAATCAGAAAAAGAAAATTTGCACAGAAAACCCATTTTGATATTCATATTTAATTATAAACTCACATCATGTGACATTTTTCAGATGCAAGAAAAAAAGAAGAACAAATGAATTCCCACGAAGGTACGTCTTAAAAAAAAATAATTAATTCTACAACAAAACCCAAAAGCAAGCACCCAAAGTTTCTCACCTTAAGCACAAATGTCTTCCAAAGCTGCAGACAAAAGTTCCAGAAAAATAAAAACCTGAATCCCCTGAAATTCAAAAGAAAACCTGATTATACACCCACATGCAAAACCCGATGACACAAAAAAAAAAAAAAAACCAAAAAGTGAGAGAAGAGAAACAATTTCAACAGAAAATCCATTTACAATCCATCTGTCAAGAGCCATAACACAACCTAACTAAAAAACTCACGGATTAAAAGTTTCTCCCTAAAAACCCCATCTCTGTCATCAAACGAAAACTCCGAAAACAACAACCCATTTAAAATTGAACCCAAAAATATTAAAAGCTTCTAACATCTAAAATTGAACAGAACACAATCATACAGTTGCATAAAAAAGTTTTAGATGCAAGATTAGAAGAACTGACCACAAAACTAATTACTTTAAGACCAACAGAGGCGAAGAGAGGAGAGAGCAGATGGCTACAAACGAAGATAAGCAAAAGAAATGGGAAAAAAAAGGACCAAAAGCAGTGAAAAGGAATCACTGCAGAAAGTAGGAAAGAAAAGGATCCAGACAAAAATGTTGAAGGGCAAAGTTGAAATAACAAAAAAGAAGCAGGGGTGAAAATGGAAGAACACTGTTACTTTCACTGTTCATGAACAGTGTTCCACCCGTTTGGGTTTTAGTATATATAGAATATATAATATATATGTGAAACAAAGTCTAAGCCAAGCATAAGCAGCCGAGAGCACCAAATGAGGGCAAAGCTGTAAATTTACTATTCTAAACAGGGAAAAAAGCCTCAGACTTAGCAGGAGTGAAGGGCAATCACGTCAAAACACTGTTATAGAACAGTACCACCCGGTTTGGGTTTTAGTATATATAAATATCATAGTGATTCACGGCTGCCTGCATGTGTTGTGTCCAGCACATATATGGTATAAGAGTAAGTGGCCAGGAGCCGCGCCATTACTCAGTGCCCCAACATATATCATATGTGCACCCAACAGATAACGTGCATGCATGGAATACCTTTAGTTTTGCGGCTGATGAACTCCATCTTGATATATGACCCCAAAAACGGGAATTAATTATGCGTGTTGGTCTCTGCGAATCAAAATCACTGCTATAATATATACGTGTGTGTATGCATATGTCCAGAATAAAATCCAGTTTTTGTCTAGCTAGGAGGAGGTGCAATTTGGCTGGCGTAAACGTAAATTAGCAAAAAGTTTCTTCATGTGCATGTGCATCTTTCCTCTTGATATAGGATGAATACATTAGAGGGTCATATAACTATAAATTGGTCGGGCTCATTATAGAAATAGAAGAAGAAAAGAAATCAACAAGGCAATGATGTTATCCTCAAGGAGCATAATTTTTTTTTTTAATAAGGATGATAATGGATTAGGCGAGTCGAGCTACGTATAAGGCTTGGTCGTCGGACTATAACAGTAGAAAACTTACTCTCTAAACCCGCACAATGCGGAAAGAAAGAACAAAACCCCAGGATTAGCCGTTAACTACAAGTAAGCTACTTTCTTCCTGCTCAGAGCGATTAGAAAGAGCTAACTCCTTGATAGAACGACACCCCCCCCCCCCCGGCGTCCCCTATCTCAGAATTTATTAAATAAAGAAAAGTAAACAATATAAGCAGGGGACGAAGCCAAAACCCGCTAAGGGAAAAACAAAGAAACATCAATGAAAATAAACAACAAGAAGAAATTCAAAGTTAGCATGGTGGCAACCGCAAAATCCAGCACGAACCGCCTCAATGAAAGTTAATACTTTTGCAACTATCAAAGAAACTAGCAAAACCTAAAATTAGGTCGTGAAGAAAGGTTATGAATGTAAGCAGAAGTTGCACAAGGAGGACAAGAGTACCAATATAAGCTCCCAGAATGATCCACAACAAAATTAGCCAAAAAGTTGGCAACTGCATTACCCTCTCGAAAAATATGAGCGACACGAGAAGAGCAAGGCAATTAATCCAACGAACACATAGACGCCAAGGAATATTGTGAGAAGTGGAAGAAAGAAAAAGGACCGCTAAAGAAGAATCACATTCGATCCACCAATAATTCCAACCATTTACCCAAGCCAAATCCACGGTATGAATAACCACATGCAACTCTGCTTCTAAAGAATAAGCAATTCCAATGGAAGCTGCAAAACAGCCTAAACAACTGCGGAAATGATCTCGAAAAATATCCCCAATACTCGCTAAACCATGAGCACCACGAGCCGCACCATCATTGTTCAGTTTAATCCAAGAAATAGGAGGTGGCAGCCATAGAACCTCATGAATACGAGGAGCTTTGGCTAGACGACCTTTAACTCCAATGGCACGAAGAATACAAAGATCAAACACAGAGTTTTTCACGGTACCAGTGCTCAAAGAATCAATCTCAATCAGTTGCAACTTAATATCACGAACAATATTAGAAACATGAGTAGATAATTCCTCAAAACGCATTGCATTGCGGGCTGCCCAAATAGAATAACAACCCGCGCCAATCATCCCCCACCAAAAAACTTGAACTTGAGAGCCAAAACCATGTTCAAGAGGATAGGAAAAAATACTTAAAATGTCATCAAAAATTATGTCCACCTGAAACCAACGCAAACATGAAGACCAAATTTGGCGAGAATAATTACAACCGAAAAATAGGTGAGGTGTTTCAATTTCTGAGCAACAGAATGAGCATATAGACACCAAAGAAAATCCTCGATCTTACAAAAGAATATTTGTGACAAGTTTACCATAATTGATAGAAGGATATATTGGTTGTTTATTTATATATGCAAAACTTAAGGGTTTTAGAAGCATCAATTTAAAGCCTATATCTGAAGGTACTATGAATTTTTTATAGGGAACTTTAACGAAAAGCACCCGGTACTGTTCACTTTAACGAAAAACCATATTTTTACACTAAAAAGTCAATCCTGGTACTGTTCACTTTACCCTTTATTTTGTCCTTATCATTAAAACTCAAAGTTTTCAAGCCCTTTTCATTAGTTTTCCTTTTTTATATGGCTAACTACATTTTACAAATTTTTTTTTTCATTTTACACTATAAAGTATTGAGATTGTATGAATTTATGTTTTTGGTCGGATAGATTTTTATATCATACATTAATTGATGAAACAGTGATTATGAAGTCCTTATATGGGCTAACGCGTATGCCCTGTACCACATGAACAAAAATAGCATCAATTTCTAAAGGATTAAACGTTCAACTAGACAAAATATATAAATATAGCAATATCTCATGGTGCAATGTGAGAAAGTTAGAACCTCATGCCTCATTTTGAAAACTAGTTAAAATCTAAAGGGTGCAAAATGTAATTAACCCTTGTTTAAATACATATAATTTTATAATTTCCATCAATGTTGGCATCTTGGTTTTTCTTTCATTTTTTTACAAGCGACAAGATAATCTATATTAAACTATGAGGAAGGGGTTCGAACACAAGACCTCAGATGCAAGGGAGAGTACTCTTAACAACTAAGCTATAAGTCACTTATAATTATTTTTTTCAGTTATTTTAATGTTTGATTAGTAAATTTAGACAAAATTTGAATGTTGAGCCCATTAGGACAAGACTAACTAATCAATTAAATGGACTTATGTCCATCTTATGTTTGGAACTTACAAACAATGGGACTAGACTAATTAAGTTAAGCAAGTCCAATCTAGAGGACTAAAACTTTATAGAACTGTATTAGAGTCAGTCCCAAACCTATCCAATCTCGAACCGCATAAGCACTTGTTTTCATATATAACACCAGCACAATTTTACAACCAACTTTGTGTTGCTTGTGAACCTCAAACCACTTCAAAATGGTACAAGTACTCGTTTTTAGGAAGTAAACACCCGCTAATTCGTTTTATAGTAGCCATAAGTTAACGTAACATGTTGGAACCAAAATTCCGCATACTGTGGATTATTGAGTTGTGCAAGATCTGCCGCCTACAAACAAGAGCAAACAACTGTAATTAATCTAAGGTATCGGTATGGTACTGGCCAAAGGTTCTCTAACAGGCAAGTTAGTTAAATCTTAGAACTTAAGCAATAGGTGTTTGGGTTAAATATTTGAACTTTGGGCTGAAGGAAGAGAAGCCCGAAAAAGAAGCCCAGGAGGTAGGACTCTGCCCAAAGGCCCAACATCAAACCTATCCGTCCAGCCCAAGGCAAAATGATGATTCCACATTAATGCAAGAGCAAGTAGGAGTAAGTTGCCTATATGGAAGTGACACTTGATGGAAATCAACCTACTCTCAATCCAAAAGCACCTTCTGAATGGTAAAGTACGTAAATTGATGATGAGCCACTACCCCTTATATTGCTTTCGAGCAGGAACCATGCTGCAAGCAGTTAGGCTAATTCGCCTATAAAAGGAGGAAGAGGGCCCAGAGACAAGGACACTCAACTAATCAAACAAACAAATACACAAACTCTGCTCAAGCCAGATTTGCATATGAAGCTGTAGTCAGCCCCCAACCTCAATCCTTTTCAGGATCAGCCCTCACAAAAGCCATCTTTTGTCTAGTTTAATAGCTCTGCTGCTCACCAGTAGTATCGATTCTCTTGTGTAAATTTATTTGTCATCCATTCTCTCTTAAAACCCTCAGATCCCTATAGTTGCATAGAAAAAAATGGCAAAAGGTCCAGCCTTACCCGACAAGGTTCAATCTTGTCCGATTCCCTTTGTTTTATCTTTTAGTTAATAAATCTGGTGTTGTAATGAATTCCCTAATATGTATTCAAATCATTTTAGGTCTTTTAATGATCTAAAGTTCAACTTACTCTCAGATCTGGTTTTAGTTAAATGGTTTTACTATCTTAAGAGTGAATCCACTTAATGCCTTGATTAGATCCGGACCTCTGCCCTTTTACAATACAAGGTAAACAAAAGTCCTTGATCTCAAGGCATAGAAAAGAATCTAATGTGGACTTAACCCATCCACGACAATCATTTGATAATGAGAAGTCAAAGTAACTTGGGGCACAAGTAATCGGCTTAAATCTACTCATTTTACATATGCCATACTGAGATGGCAGTGGCACGCCTCAGCATTTAAATTAGTTTTGATTGTGAGCCTCACGGCCTATACTTAGGGCTCGACAAAGGCACCTTTCATAATTAACTTTGTCCTCTTCTTGTAGCCCGACGAACAAAGCAAGAACCCGACAGTCAACCAAAGTGACAACTCCGCAGGGAGCTGTATGCTCGAGCCAGAAACGCCTATAGGCAACATTCCTGCCCAAACATAGTTTTGGCACGCCCGATGGGACCAAATCTTGTATGCCATGAAGACAAACGAAAGAACAAACCTTCGAGTGGGGATCAATGCAAAGACTGCCCCACTCACACTGAGATCCAACATGACAAATCTCCCTGAAGATTTACAAGGACCTATCTTGACGAGAAGTCCGACCCCTTCTGAGAAATCAAATGAGAGGGTTACAAAAGAAGATCTACAGGCTACCCTGATGGCTATCTTGAAAAGCCTAGAGAGATGTTCTCTAAATATGGAAAGGAACTTTAGGGGAGCTAAAGAAGAAATGGACAAAGGCTGTTCCATGAATCCGCAAAAAAGGTCAGATCTGGAGCACTCTACTCCAGAAAATGATAATGTTGGAAGGGCAGCAAATCAGACTAGCCTTATGAAAGAACCAGTTGTTTCCTTGTTCCCTTTACTAAAAAAAGAATGGGATAAGGAAAAGAACAAGGAAGATACCAGAGCCAGCCAGTTAGCTTTGAATGAGATTAAGAAGCCCAAGTTGTCTGACCCTTTGTCGTTCTCATTGAATAACAGGGGGCAATACAGGCTAGAAATAGTGCAAACATTGGGAGAATCTCAAACTAATGCGGTAACAGGTGCTGATCCTTTTCTACAAGCCCTCGTAAACATGATCAATTTAACGTGGGCAGAGAAAAGGAAAGAAAAAGCTACCAAGGAAGTAAGAGCTGAAAGGTGACAAACTGATAGGCCGACGGAAGAAGCTATCAAGTTGCCTAAAAAGCTTAAGGCAGCAATAATCAAAGGGGTGGTTTTGTGCAATAAATGTCAATGTGAGTGCGAGCTAGAAGTACCAACTGCAGAAGCCATCTTCGATAAGAAATTGATTAAGAGAAGAGGAAAAAAAGAGCAGGAATCCCGCAGAGATATCATGTGGGCAGCCAAAAAGGAAACCTCTCGGAGCGTCTTTCAGAGGTTGGGAGGAGACTCTCAACCAAAGAACTTGTCAGAAGTATTCAGAAACTATGAAGCTTCAGAAGAAGTAGAAGACAAGAAGGCCGAGACACCAAGGTGGGTAGACGTAAAGCCACCTCAATCAAGTTATGCCAGTGATGTTAGAATAAAAGAAAAGACAGTGAACCCGGTCACTAAAAAGAATGTTGCCCGACTCGGGCGGAGATGGTATATAGTTGGAAGGGACGGAAAACCCGTTAAAGAGATGGGAGCTTCCATGATCAAGAGAGTCCAAAGGCAACATAAAGCCCACATGAACTCATTGAAGGTCCCTACCACCTCAGAAACCTATAAAAAAAAGGAGAGGTAAACAAGGTACATAATTAAGGAAATAATCAAATTTGCTGGAGAACCAAGAAAGAGGTAGAGAAAGTCAGTAGTAATACTGAAGGGGAAAAAGACCATGCATCAACGAGCCTTCACCCGGGAAAATATAGAATCCTAAGAAGAGCTCATGAAGATATGGTAATGATGCCAACACCTAAGTTGAGCCCAGAACCAAGCTGTTTTGGAACAATCTCACCCGAGAGAGGTAAAGAAAGCCTGGTTAGATTGGTTTATGAACCACATAGGGGGCAAGGAAGGAGATGTACCTGGGCCCAATGACTTCCATGTAAACATGACATATTTTTTATCAGCCATGTTTCACGCCGAGCATGATCAATCATGGAAGGTGATTACCTGGCTACAGAACCCATGATGGCGCATGTTAGTGTTGAGGATATGGGACAAGGAGAACCTAACCAAACTGGATTGCTCGAACCATCAATAAGGAAGCCTGAGAGGATATACTCGGACAAAAATGGTTTTTGTCCACCCAAATTCAAGCATGGCCAACCATCTCAAGCCCATATAAGTAACTGCACACCTGAAGGGAGTACCCTTCAAAAGGGTCTTGATCTACGGTGGGGCCGCAGTTAATATGCTACCATACAAGCAGATGAAGAAGATGTGTAAGAGTGAAGGGGATCTTATTCCCACCGATCTTACAGTTTTTAATTTCTCCTGAGTTATCACCAAGACATATGGGATACTACCGTTAAAGGTGGATTTAGGATCAAAATAAATTATCTTGGCCTTTTTCGTTGTGGACAGCATTTCCACTTATAGAGTTTTACTAGGCAAAGATTGGATTCATCAGAGTCTCTCTGTGCCATCTACTTTACACTAATAAACGGCCGTCTACCATGAGGAATGGGAAGCAGGACTTGGATTTTGGGAGATGGTAGAGGCCGAATCACGGCCATTTCTCCCTACAGCTAACTTTGCAAAAGCCAACTTCTATAATCCCAGCATTGGGATTATTCAATGTTCAGGAGCTGATAAGAACGGCCGCCCAACCAAGGTGATGGCCCAAAAGCTTTTGGAACAAGGGCTAACTTTTACAAGGGAAGAATGGGATCGGCCCTATATCATCCCGACTCCCCAACACTTTTAAATGTCAAAGCATAAAAGAAAGGACCAAGTGATCACAGTCAGGTCTTTAATAAAAATATTGTTGGTATATGGGAGAGAGAAAAAACAGGAAAAGGAAAGCTCAGCCAAAGAAGAAAATGGCTAGAGCAGAGAAGCCTCAAGTAGCCAGATGATTAAAGAGGATTGTTTTGGGAAAAAGCTAGAAGCGACCATCCAAATAGCTGAATGTATATATGACTTGGACGGGCCAGAAGATTTGCCTGAGAGTTCAGAACTGGTTGAGTTTTTGTGTGCAGAGCCTGACAAACCGACCCATAGGTGCAAGATCCCTTGGAGACCATTAATCTAGGGACGGAGGAAGATCCAAGACATATATAGATCAGTGGTTTGTTGAAAATCAAAGATCGGGCAGGGATTGTCAACCTTCTGCATAAATTCAAAGATTGTTTTGCTTGGCATTACATTGAGATGCCAGGTTTAGACCCAACCTTAGTAAAACACAAGATGCCTATTAAGGAGAGGTTTAAACCTATCAAGCAAGCACCACGGAGAATGTCAAAAGAAATCGAGGAGAAGGTTAAAAAAGAGATCAAAAGACTGGTAAAAGCCGGATTTATTAGGCCTACCAAATATGTTGAGTGGTTGGCCAACATTGTTCCTGTATTAAAAGCCATAACTAAAGCAGTTAGGTGTTGTGTTGACTATAGAAACATTAATGGAGCCACGCCTAAAGATGAATATCCCATGCCAATGGCCGACTTATCTATAGATGCAGTAGCCAAACACAAAGTTCTGTCTTTCATGGACGGAAATGCAGGATACAATCAGATATAAATGGCTAAAGAAGATATACATAAAACGGCGTTTAGATGTCCAAGTCATGTTGGAGCATATGAATATGTGGTGATGTCATTCTGGCTCAAAAATGCTGGTGCCACTTATCAAAAAGCAATGAATGCCATTTTTCATGACCTAATTGGCCATAGCATGGAAGTATATATTGACGATATTGTGGTGAAATCCAAGACTGATGAACAACATTTGGTAGATCTCAAACAAGCCTTAACAAGAATGAGGATCCATAAGTTAAAGATGAATCCTAAGAAGTGCACTTTTAGAGTAAGGTCGGGCAACTTTTTGGGATTCTTCGTTCATCAGAGAGGAGTAGAGGTCGATAAAAACAAAGCTCGGACAATAGTGGAATCACTTTCACCCACCAATAAGGTACAACTGCAAAGGTTGCTAGGAAAAGTCAACTTCCTGAGGAGATTTATTGCTAATTTAGCGGGCAAGATTCAGCCGTTAACTCTTTTGAATGGGGCCCGCAACATTAAGAAACTTTCAATAGCATAAAAGCTTACTTAGCCTCTCCACTAGTGCTTATGCCACCTCAGATGGGAAATCCATTAAAACTTTACATCTCTGCCTCGGAGATATCAATTGGAAGCTTGCTGGCCCAAAACAACAAAGACGGAAAGGAACAAGCCGTATATTACCTCTTTACTGAGGTGGAGACAAGATATACCTCAGTGGAGAAACTATGTTTGGCTTTGTACTTTACTGCTTGCAAGTTAAGGCATTACATGTTACCTTGCCGCATCCATATCATCTTCAAGATCGACGTGATTAAATACATGATGGCGAACCTATGTTGACAGGAAGAATTGGGAAGTAGAATTTGGCATTGTCCGAATTCAGTTTTCAGTATGTACCTCAGAGGGCAGTCAAAGGGCAGGCAATTTCAGACTTTTTAGCCCAGCATCAAGAGTCCCAATGAGAAATAATCAACATCTTAGGAACCTTGAAGGTGGCTAACATCTTGATCTTACCAAGCAAAGCCATCGTGGCAGAGAATAATGGATTCAGCAAGAGGTATAAAGGATATCCAACCCTTGGGTTATCCCATGGAAGCTGTATTTTGATGAATCTTGCACCCAAAATGCTGCTGGAGCTGGGATCGTTATTATTGATCCTAGAGGTACTCACCATTGTTATTCATTCTTCTTGGATTATCAAGAAACTACCAACAATCGGGCAGAGTATGAAGCCTTGATAATTAGCCTAAAAATCTTGATAGAATTGGGGGCAACTGAAGTTGAAGTGTTTGGTGACTCAGAATTGGTAATCAATCAGTTAAATGGGGAATATAGATGCAGACACATCACTATGGCCATTTATTACTTGGCAGCCACCCAATTATTGAGCTATTGTGGCACAGAAATATCAGCTGCCTATATACCTAGAGAAGTCAATGAGATTGCCAACGAGATGACACAATTGGCCTTGAGAGTACAGATCCAAGAAAGGAAGTTTGAGAGAGACAAAGAAGTCCAGAGAAAAGATCTCCCTTCCATTTTGGATAGGGGATTTAGCCTAGATGTAATGATTGAAAAAGTGGAAGTCGAAGACTAGAGGACATATGTCCTTCGGTATTTAAAAGATCTTTCCTTCCCTACAAGTAAGAATGATAGACAACAAGCGACTAAGTACGTCTTGTGGGAAGAAAATCTACTAAGGAAGACTCCAGGCGGGTTAATGTTAAAATGCCTAGGCTTGGAAGAGTCTATGAGAGTCATGGCCGAGGTGCATGAAGGAATCTATGGAGCTCATCAAGTTGGAACCAAGATAAGGAGGCTGCTTAGGATATATGGTTATTTCTGGCCCAAGATGGAGAAATATTGTAAAGATTATGCCCGAAGATGTGAAGAATGCCAAAGACATGGGCCACTCCAACATGTGCTTTCAATACTTTTGAAACCTGTGGTCAAGCCTTGGCCCTTTAGAGGATGGGCAATGGACTTCGTTGGGCAAATTCATCCAGCTTCTAGTAAAAGACACACATTCATAATCGTGGCCACAGATTACTTCACCAAATGGGTGGAGGCTTTAGCTGTTAAGAATATTACTTCAGCCACAATTAAGAAGTTCATTGAAACCAAAATTTTGCACAGATTTGGGGTGCCCGAGGTAATTGTCACAGATTGTGGACCATCTTTTATTTTAAAAGAAGTAAAAGAGTTTGCCGACAAGTTTAGAATAAAGATGGTTCAATCTAGTCCTTATTACCCTCAGTCAAACAGGCAAGCGCAGGCCAGTAACAAAATTCTGGTAAGTATCATTAAAAGAACGGTAGCCGAGAACATAGAAAAATGGCATGAGAGGTTGGGGGAAACTTTGTGGGCATACAGGACATCCAAAAGAACGACAACTGGAACAACCCCTTACCATTTGACTTTTGGGCAAGATGCTGCGATTCCCATGGAGATTAATGTGGTTCAATCAGCATTCAGAATCAGTCCGGGCTACATAGTGAAGAATATGTTCAATCTATGTGTTAAGAGATTGAGGATCTTGATGTAGCCAGAATTGAAGCTTTAAACAAGATTCAAAAATGAAAGGAAGTTATTGCCTGAGCATACAATAAAAAGGTAAAATTGAAGAATTTCAAAGAATGAGAGTTAGTCTGGAAAGCAATCCTCCCTTTAGAAGCACAAGTTATGGGCTTTGAGAAATGGAGCCTGACTTGGGAATGCCCTTTTATTGTTAATCAGGTATTGGGCAAGGGTGGATACTACTTGGCAGATGTGGAGGGAGTATTACAAAAGCATCCAATCAATGTTCAGTTCTCAAAAAGATATCATCCGACCTTATGGGATGTTAGAGATTGCTACATAGAAGAAGAATAAGCAAGCCTGGGGTGTAAGAGATCAGTTTTTACGTTCATCATACGTAAACCTTAAGAAAAATACAAGATAAAGCAATATGAGAAAATCTTATTCATTTGAGCGAAAAATGAAAGTTACATCAGATCTAGCTCAATGGCTTCATATTAGTACAAATCCTAGAATAAGGGTGTTACATTTTTGCTTAACCCTTTCCAAATGATGTTCCAACTCTCTTGATTCTCCTGCATTTTCATCCACAAAATCCGATCGAGTTGTGCGGCCAATAAAAGCCTGATGACTGGCCCCAGAACATACCCCCATGGAGGTGATGGTGAAGTCTGACTTATGGGGGTAGCAGGTAAAGTGGTGATTACTCGACTAGCCTGCAAGGTTTCAGCAGACTTAAAGCGAGCAGAGCACCTGACGGAAGTTGTTGAAAGTAGTGATTGTTCCTTAAGCATATTGTTTCCAACAGAAGGGAAGGTTAGAGAATACCATGCCAATTCTAGAGGATACAATCCCTTATCTTTAGAAGAAAATCTAGAAAACAAGGTTACCCGAGGACGATGAAGACCATCAAGAGGGAAGGACTTAATAGCGATCCGTTCAATAAACATGGAAGAATGAGTTAGGCTCGTAGAGCTTCGGTTATCATGGTGAAAAATTAAAGGAATGAAGGATCAGGGGAAACTGAGAGGTATCACAAAACAAGTTGGGAAATATTCGAAGGCTTTGAGGGGGTTTTTTCTCGAGGAAATTTTGGGAATATGAAGAATCAATCGGTTTTAAAAACCCAGAAGCTGAAATTGAGCCAAATTTTATAAAGGGGACCAGGTGACGATTGAAATTCATGGAAAGAGGAAGGACCTAAGTTTGCATTAGCTACGTCAGAAAATGCAAGTTCCGAGTGAAGCGTGCGAGGGTATGACGGCTGTTCAAATCATTATTGGTGCCTAAAGCTTAAAGGCTTAACAACAATTAAAGGGGGCACTGTTTGGGTTAAATATTTGAACTTGGGGCTGAAGGAAGAGAAGCCCGAAAAAGAAGCGTAAGAGGCATAACTCTGCCCGAAGGCCCAACATCAAACCCATTCGCCCAACCTAAGGTAAAATGATGATTCCACATTAATGCAAGAACAAGTTGGAGTAAGTGGCCTATATGGATGTGACACTTGATGGAAATCAACCTACTCTCAGCCCAAAAGCAATTTCTGAATGGCAGAGTACGTAAATTGCTGATGAGTCACTAACCTTCATGTTCATTTCGGGCAGGAACCAAGCTGCAAGCAGTTAGGCTAATTCGCCTATAAAAGGAGGAAGAGAACCCAGAGATAAGGACACTCAACCAATCAAACAAACAAATACACAAACTATACTCAAGCCAGATTTGCATACGAAGCTATAGTCAGCCCCCAACCTCAATTCTTTTCAGGATCAGCCCTCACAAAAGCCATCTTTTGTCTAGTTTATAACTCTGCTGCTCCAGTAGTATCGATTCTCTTGTGTAAATTTATTTGTCATCCATTCTCTCTTAAAACCCTCAGATCCCTGTAGTTGCAAAGAAAAGAAACGGCAAAATGTCCAGCCTTGCTCGACAAGGTTTAATCTTGCCCAATTCCCTTTGTTTTGTCTTTTAGTTAATAAATCTGGTGTTGTAATGAATTCCCTAGTATGTATTCAAATTATTTTAGGTTTTTTAATGATCCAAAGTTCAGCTTACTCTCATATTTGGTTTAAGTTAAATGGTTTTACTATCTTAAGAGTGAATCCACTTAATGCCTTGATTAGATCCAGACCTTTGCCCTTTTGCCATACAAGATGAACAAAAGTTCTTGACCTCAAGGCATAGAAAAGAATCTAATGTGGACTTAACCCATCCACGACAATCCATTGATCTCAAGGCCTATACTTAAGGCCCGACAAAGGCACCTTTTAGAATTAACTATGTCCTCTTCTTGCAGCCCGACGAACAAAGAGAGAACCCGACAGTCAACCAAAGTGCCAACTCCGCAGGAAGCTGTGTGCTTGAGCCAGGAATGCTCACAGGCGACATTCCTGCCCGGACAATAGGTAAGCAAAGTATGCAGTATGTGCGTGACTAGTGATATTCCCCAAGGGTTGTATTTATACTAGTAGGGAGAAAATACTTTTAGGATATTGAATCCATATTAAATCGAGAGAATTCTAAAGGATATATAGAATAAGATTGTTTTCTTGTAGGAATGTGATTACTTGTGCTGCACGCCAATCTCTAGATTGTAGAAATATCCAAGAATATAGGAAACCAATATGATCCACAGTCATATTAGGTTTTTGTGTCTTGCGAATAATGGTCGATCTTAGCAGGGTCAACGGGCTTTGATTACCAAAACATAGCCTAACAGGGTGTGGTGTCCCCGATTGGAATCGTTAAGTCTATAACTGGTTTCTGAAGTACTTGTATTTAGATCCACCTTATTACGGCACAATAAAATAAATGATCCTACAAATGCCTCCAGCAAAGCTTCCAAAATGGCGTTCCTTTAAGGGTGAATAGTTTTCCAAGGACCATACCGTCAAAGTGGATAAAAATAACTTACCATTCAAAATTCTTCGACACGTGTCAAATCAGTTCCTCTACCAGTGTTAGGCAGTGTAGACACTCCAAATTTGAGCGTGGGACCTTGAAGGTCGTCCCTTTAAAACAATGAAGATGATGGGTCGTCGCATCGTATGTGCACACAAAAATGAGAAACGACATTTTACGTTTTCGATAGGTTCCAACCGTCGGATATACGAATGTCGAAGTGAATCATTACAGATTCTATGGTAGTGTGATTCTAAAAAGCCTCTATAAATTTTCCCTTCTTTATCCTCATTTTCTTCATATCTGTTAGGAAAATTACAAGGAAATTGTGATAAAAGTTACAAGAAAATAATATTCTTCCAAGAAGCATATAGACAATTAGGCTAAAGCGCAGGTATCTCGCTTTTTTTAAGAAGGTTCAAGCCCATTGTAGGTTGACAAAGTCCACAAGCCCGTGCAATAGTATATCCCTTGACTTGTTCCCTCTAGGATACAACACCTCAATTGAATCGTTGTATGACTCAAACCTATTTGTATAAAAGGAAAAGTCCAAAGCTCCACCACACGAACACCTTTTTTGGCCAATAAGTAAAAATGAAAAGATAGAGGAATGGAGAGAATAATTGTTGCAGAAGAAATTGTGTACTGGAATAAAATAAACTGATAATGGAAAAAATGCTATTAATTATAGGTTTTTTAACCATTAATGAATAGATAAACAAAGATTAACAAGACAAAAGTTACAGAGTTACATAAGATGAAAAGTTAAAAGACTCCATCTTAACTTCCCATTAACGACAAATAATGACAATTTTAAGTAGTTTGTTTAATATTAAAAATGCACAACATACTCCGACTCTTTTTTAATTATTAATTGAGAAGAAATAATGAAAATAGTATTGACCAAAGATGAATCATTATGCATCATGAAGGTGTTGTTCTGCATTGAACCTCCATTAGTGAAACAATAGTTCCTACTCTAGAGTTGATAGTGGTCTCAGACTTAAACTACAACTACTTAAGGGAAAATAAGTTACCGCTCATGCATAATAATCTAGGTGTTAATTTGAGCTTTAATAGCTAGCACGTTACTGCCTTGTGCTTAAACCTGTAAACGGGTCGGGTTTACTGGGTTTGGGTCGAGTTCAACCCCGACCCGTTAAGCTAATGGGTCACCCGAACCTAACCCTTTAAGCTAACGGGTCACTCGTTTCAACCCATTTCACCCATTAACCTTAGGGAATTTTAACGAAAAGCACCTGGTACTGTTCAATTTAACGAAAAACCATATTTTTACACTAAAAAGTCAATCCTGGTACTATTCACTTTACCCTTTATTTTGTCCTTATCATTAAAACTCAAAGTTTTTAAGCCATTTTCATTAGTTTTCCTTTAACCTTATTCTTTCTCTTTTTTTTTATTTTTTTTATTTTTTTTTACATTGTGTAAGAAAGAAATCTTAGCATCCTAGTGCTTGTGCTAGCCACCTCCTTCTGTCATTATGTTTGTGTGCATATGCAAGTCATGGAGTGATTTGATGAACACCTGGAGCTTTATTACAAAACAACTGAGTGAGCAATAATGTAACAAAACAATTGAGTGAGCAATCATCATATAATAGAGTTTTGTATTGAACTACATCAATCAGCAAATTCTGATCACAACCTAATTCATGATTTAGCATATAGATATGAATTATTGACATGTAAGAGAGAGAAAGTTGGTGAGACGTACATCAATCGATCAGCATGTGCACACCAAAACATTCAGGAACCAACAAAAAAAATCCAAGACCCTAAATTTTTCTGCAAATTCTAATCAAAACCTAATTCCCGAGAGGTCGAGACGAATGATGCTCTCAGCCCCTTCACCACCGCTGAGGCGGCTTCTTCGTCATGGAACATAAAGTAGCTCTCAATTCTAATAAAAAACTGAGAAAAATAGTCGAAAAATATAATCTGCAGAAACAAAAAGTAATCGCCATGGAAGAAAAGTTGAAAGGGAATCGGAACTTACCGGAGAGATGGTGGCAAAACTCAGTGAAACCTTGATTTTTTAGGAAGAAGATGAGGGAGAGAACGGCAGCCCCGGAGAGGAACGTGCAGTCCGGGTTCAAACGTGAGCGAACAG